TGGAATGTTAAAACTGATAAGCATTGCTGCAAAACGTTTTGATATTCTAGCAATCATTTTGACATTCGCACAAAATTATTTTGATTGTTGAACAAAAATTATTTTCAGATCTGGATCCAGCAAAATTGTTCTTTCGGTGTAGCCATTATCAGCTATTATATAAATTTAAATTACAATTAAAATTGACATTATCGGCGCAGATGTATTCTTATGTTTGTCGCAGTTCTATAAACTTAACTATCATAATCGTCATTTAATAATACAATGTCTAAATACCGCAGGTACGTATCCGTGCGTGTTCCGTTGTTTATTAATTATGTTAATGGTTAACATTATACGGTTATATTAATGTAATCTATTAATATCTTTAATGAATTTTGTATTTGTCAGCAATTTTTTCGATTTTCACTTAGGAATCGTGAATTTATACATGTAATTAGTGACGCGACAAAAATGACGCTAGCAATGTTTACCACTGATGCGCTTCAAAAATTCCATCTGAGGAAAGAAATCAACGGGATAAAAACGAAGCGTCTGAGGAAACCGGGTTAATCGCGTATTTTTGGCATGCCGTCTGAATGCCAACGTGCGTGTAAATATTTAGCGAAACGCGTGCACGAATAATGCTGCACGCGTTTCATACGCCGACGTACGTGCAGGAGGAAAAAAAAAAGGTTAAACAAATATTAAAGGCAAACAGAGAAGAACCGGATTCGCGAGCGCGCGAGGTGCGCGGCAAACCCGCTCTCCCACCCCTTCGACCGGCGCGTATCGTTCTCTTGAATCTGGACTTTTTCTCTCTTTTTCTCCCCTTCCCTTCCTCCCTCCCGCTCGTCTCTCTTTCTCTGTCGTTTACCGACCCGTATCCCCGAGGCGAAAAACCTCGGCCAGAATTTTAGTCACGATGTCACCCTGATGCCTCGTTGCCTCGTAATGACTCTTCGCTCGTTGACGCGATATAATTTGAATCGCGGTATTCCCCGGAAAAACGAGAAGGAAATTATGGCAGAGGGGGGAGAGAGGAATATGTCGCAGCAAGGAAGATGTATCGCGAACGAGGCAAGCTTTACTTTTTTTCTGTCTCTCTTTTTCTCTCCCCCCCCCCCTCTTTTTTTTCTCTCGTTGCTACCGCCGTTGCTGCGGGTCTAAGGCGCGTTTTCTGTCGTAAGCAGAAGCACTGTCAGGACATCCGGCGTCCCGTGATACGTTTCCAATATTTCATCGGCTCGTTTGCGTTATTTCGCTAGACAACTCGTCGATGCGAGATCGAGCTGGCTCTATGGTTCAGCCTCAGGTATCCCACTCGCTTTTTATTCACGATTGTCACTTTATTCCTTTTTTTTTACAGGATCATTTTACGTTATTACCTATGCTTGCCGGTGGCGTTCGGCCTCGTTAAACGAAATCGAAAGAGGTATATCGGAGGTGTGAAGAGCGCCGCGTAGGACATTCTTTTTTTCATTTTCGGCGTGAAAAGAAACGCGCGTGGCGCTTCGCGGGTTCACTTGTCCTCCGCATATTGACAGGAGATTATTATTAATCTACGGAAATAACATTATTAACATTACAGTTATTACGTGCGCGTATTTAATGGAGTTCAATGCAATGAGACTTGAGTGATCGATAATTGGTGCAGCGAAATACGGTATTAGTCGGTGCGCCACGTTGCCAATGAATTAATTTGTCCTGCGTGTGTGTGTGTGTGTATGTATGTGGCGCGCGCGTGTACGTGCGTGTGCACGTAGCGCGCGCTTGCGAGGGAGCGAGGGAGAGACTAGCAGCAGAAATCGGGACTGTTAATCCAATCTACACGCCAAATCAGGAATGATGGCCCGGTAACCGTTCGCGCCTTTTAATGATCCATACATTTTGATTCGAGGTAGGTGCCCACACGGTGCGTGTGAGAGAGAGAGAGAGAGAGAGAGAGAGAGAGAGAGAAGAAAGACTTGATTTCTACGTTTACGTCGGACGTGGCGCGAGCGAAACGCCGGCGATCATTAGCAGAAAATTAGGTCCCCGTAATTGAACGTTTGTCGAAATTTCCCCGGGAATTGTTTGCGATTGAAGCGTCCACGGCGGCTACGCGGAGGTTAACCGTTCGCCGCATACAGGAAATGGGCGTTCTGCGCCGTGTCATCGTGCGGTCGTATCGGTTACACCAACGTATTTGGACGCCCGAGAGAACGCTGGTCCGCGATGGCGGAACTTTGAAGGGTGGGGTCTCTGCCTCTCAATCGGCAATTTCTTTCCGCGCACGTCGCGATTTCTCTCTCGCCTGCCTCTGCTTAATTAGTCCTCCAACATCGGGTCGGGATCGAGACGTCGGATGTCGCGGACCTTGGTGACAGTCGGCACGACTTTGATTTCCTGATACTCCTCGTCCTCGACGGCGAGTTTCGCGGGATCGGTGGTCAATGCGATCACCAGTGCATCTGGCAGCGGAGCCTGAAAACACAGTGACGAGATAAAGAAAGCGCGGATTGTTCAGCGTAAAAAAAAAATAAAAATATAAATTGCTCAGCGTCGAGGCTCACGTCCGAACGTTCGCTGAGCCACTTTGCGAAAATCCTGACGCTCTCCAGATGCGTTATGTTCCTCCAGACCACGTCCATCGTCTCCAGTTCCGTTATCACGTTCTCGCATCGCAGCCACCTCTCCCGCACCTGATTTCCGGGCGGCACGAACCGGAGCTCACCGGATATCGCCGTGCCAAACGCCATTGTTTTGGCCGGCTTACCCTCGGCTTTGGCGTCCCTGATCAGATGCCTCCTGGTCATGGCAAGCTCACCCGCGTCAGGACATTGTCTCGCTGCGGCCACCTCGTTCGGCACCATCGGCATTTCCCTCATCGACATCTATCTCAAACGAGCGCGCACAATCGAACACTTTATTTTCTTATCCTCTTCCGGAGAACGTATAACGTAAAAGAGAGCTTCCTCCTTTTGCTACGAATCTCTATGGTAGCTCTCTCGAAAACGTACAAATTAGGTTTCAGCCGTTAATTTAATTACGTCGATATTTTTTTTCTCTGCGGAGGAAAAAAAATTACTTCCTCCACGAGAGATATTCGAACGAGTCGTATTTCATTTGCGAGACGCGAACGCGCAATCGGGTCGGCCTTCCATAGTATATCGCGTTGAAGTTATAATTCAAATCCCGCTGTTGTGTGCGGTTCACCGCTCAAAGTGCGTGTTACCGTTGTTACATCATGCATCGCATTATGATGTTACGCCGCCGCCGTTGCAGGACTATCGCGTGCACGCGCGAGAAACGCATTTACGGAATACGCCGCGATACGCCGCTGCGTCCGGTGCACTTTATTCCTGTATCTGTATATACCTCCATCGTCCTGCTGGCCTCGGCAGTAAAGTCAATTTCGAACATATCTCCGAGGACCTCCTCGTCGATGACGTGGTCGGTGCCGCCTAAACTGCGCAGCCACTCGCAGAAGTCACGGCATATCCTGTCCATAATATTTTTGGCTTTCATCTCGAGGGTGGCCTCGGGATCGTAGCCTTTGAGATCGTCCGCCGTTAAAGGACGCCAAGTGACAACCTGGTAACGATAAGGCCCGCGGTAAGCTCCAGTATCATTAAGAAACGGAGGACTCTCCTGTACGCAGCGGAAGAAACCGCGGAAGGATCTCGGCGTACGCGAGATCCCGATATAATATTATTTCGCGTACCTTGCGCCGCGGTTTCCTCAAAAAGAGAGCGTAAGGATTCGATCTGGCCTGACCTACTTTATGCTCATCTCCGGTCGTCGAAATGTCTTTGGTCGTCGGGGGATGCACCTGCGGGCGTATAAAAGCTTACTCTCAACTAATAACTCTCGAACGGACAAAGCGGACTGTCTCCGAGCAACGATAAAATTCGCAGTATTAAATGAGAGACTTATTTTCATTTTCGACTTATATAATCAATTTTCTGACATAAAAAAAAAAACGTAAGAAGAAATTTTCAGAAATGCAATTTTCGGTGCATTTAATTTTAATTGACTTTTATTTTTAGAAATTTAATCAGAATCAATGAAAAAAATATACGATGTTAAAAATTGAAAAGGTTACGATGAAATTTTCCTTAAAAAAATTTTTATTGTAAAATTTATTATAAAATAACCGATAGTTAATTAAAATATATATACGTACGATCAAATCGAAGGGAATCTCGCCCTCCGTCTCTTCTTCCTCTTCTTCTTCTTCTTCCTCTTCCGTTTTGAATTGCACCGTGGCAGCAATGTCTACTTTTCGTGCTCTTTTAGGATACCAGGTCTTCATGCCCAATAATGGGGCGACGAGATTGTAGGAGTCGAGCGGCAGGACACGTCTCAGCAGACGGGAATTGCAAACGGGAGGCTGTTTCGCGGAGAAAACGAGGTCAGACGGGAATTTATCGGGGCACAAATAACGTTTCGAGTCCGCCAGCAACTTTGTTAATCTCGCGGCTAGCTTGGCGCGTTTTTTTGCCGCCGGCACATCGGCCGTGTCGTGTTGTTCTATCACCCGCGAGGAGAACTCGCTCGCCAGGCTCTCCAGCATGGTCGCGGCCGACGCGCGAGGTTTCCCTCCGCGACTCGCTCTCTCTAAAAATCGCGAGACCTCAGCGACCGTCGACAGCGGTAATTCCGCCGCCTCCGCCGAGCCGGGGGAGGTCGACCCTTTCGCGGAATCTATCTCCTCCAAGGGGATTACCTTTCCTCGCTCACCTTCCGCCTCGCCTCGACGAACCTCGAACGTACGTCTCGTAGAATCCTTCGATAAATCCCCGATGCTCGTGCAACTGTATCCTCTCTTCAGCTCGCCCTTTCCTGCGGATTCTACGATTGGCGATATCAGCTGTTGCTGCGACTTAACTTTCAAGAGGGCTCCCGGGATCCTCGAGGGCGTATCCTTCGCCTCGCCTGCAGCAGAAATACTCCTTTCAGATTTCCCGTCGGTCGTTCCCGACGGCGGCCTCGCCCTCGTTGTCTCCGTGCTGACTTTCACGTCGTCGTAATACTCGTCGTCGGACTTCTCCTTCGTCAACGTCGCGCTCTCCATGAGCGCGATCCGCGCCTCCATGGTGGTCGGTTTCCTGTGTCGCAGAGCCCACAGGGGCTCCATGCTGGGCAGCAGGACCGTCGGCAGGTGACAGGGCGCCATGTTCTTGTACTGGGACGGATCGTCGTCCAGCGCCAGCGGCGACGACGTCTCGTCGTCAGAGGTGTGCGCCTCCGAGGACGAGATTTTCGACCTTGGTTCGACGTCCGACGATACCGAGATCGAGCCGGAGGTGGCTCTCAGGCTTTTCGGGTCCTTAGACAGCAGGTCTTCAGTGAGCTTCGGTGTTTTATCCTTAGATTGATTCGGGTCGACCCTTATCGAAATCTCGACGCATTCTTGCTCCACCTGAGGCGACGGGGACGCCGATTTGCTCGACGCGTCCTCGACCGTTTCCGGACTCCTCGGAATTCCCTTTCTCTGCGAATGCAATATCTTTCGCAGTTCCTCGCGAAATTCCGAAAGTCCATCGGAACTGGACTCGCTGCCGGACTCGTCTTTCGCTTCAATCCCCGTTAGCAACGCCGCTCGCGAGGAGACAGCCCCGGTCTCGCTCGTCTTCCGCGCGGATTTATGCATGCAGGACAAACACCTGTCGCGATTCCTGCGCCGAAAGCACGATAACCTCGGAATGGCGTCTAGGAGGTTCGCCGAGTGGTTTTCCCGGGTCTCGTACTTTGCGAACTTCGCGCTGAAGGCGGACTTCGCTAACGATTTCGCGGGCACCACGGAGGATTTGCCGGAGTTCGATCTCAACGGCTTATATTTATTAACGTCCCGCTCGCCGATATTTGCCGCCCACGTCTCTCTCAATCTTTTTTGCATCTCGCGGAAGAAAGGGAATTCCGGGCTGCGAGTCCCGGACTCGGGACTTTCGCTCTCGGCCACGTCCGACCTGTCTGTATCCGCTATCGATCTGTCGGTGGAGGCGCGCGATCTCGCCGACGTTTCCTCCCACACCTCGGGTTTGAAATTCAGATTTTTGTCGAGCGTCAAGCGCTTCAGCGCCCTATACGCGCATCGTTGCGAGTAATTCAAGAATTCCCGCGTTCCGTCATCGATTACCGTTTGCTCCGATTGCATTTGAGGCTCAGGTACTGTATCTTGTCATTCCGACTCGTTGACGAGCCTCTCCCGAACGTCGGGAGTCGTCTGTAAACACGACGATTTATTTATTATCTTGCCCGATATTATATCAACTTTGTCTCGAGGTTGAAACGATTCTGGAAACGACGGTGCGATTTTTAGACTACTGGCTCTCCTCTCTTTCGTCTTTTTGCCGGGTGAATATTTAAATTTCGATTTACGAACGTCAGATCTGAAATTGCACTGTTTACTTAGCGTATCATTTTCCCTACCTTCAGATTCGACTGCAGCTTCGTCCACTGCAGCTTCACTTGCGGTTAAATCAATAGCATTATCCGGATAATACGGCAACTCCCTTCGCGGTACGGCAACTCTTTTGATCTTCTTGCTCTCGACAGAAGTTGTTCCACTCTTATCTTTATCATATTTAGACGCGTCCTCCGCGTGCGGCAATTTGTTCAATTTTTCATCCGGCGACACCACCCGGCTCGCTCTCGGGTCTTCCCTCAAATATCTCTCGATATCGTCGTCGAAAATCTTCACCGCGGGCTCGTGTCTGTGAAAGGGGCACGTACTCTTTGAATACATCCTTCCATCTCTCGATCCGTCATGCGGTATGATAGAATTTTTGGAGGGAACGTCGAGAGACTCCGATTCTTTAGACGAATTCGCTTTCTCGATCGCGGATTTATTCCGCATGGCAAGAAGCGCGTGTTGCTGCTTCTTCGTCCCGGCGATCGCGATCACGTCATTTTGCGGCGGTTTCTTTAACGGCGTGGGAGGCGAGATCTTAACTATTGGCTCTCTCGCGTTGGAAAGAGTATTTTTGTTGTCTCTGCTCGAGGAAGCATCTGGCGCTCCGGAGGATTTCGGATCTACGAGAGGTACGTTCTCGTCGAGGAGACCTTGAGGAGCGGAAGAATCGTTCGAATCTATGATATCGCGAAGACTCGTTTCAAAATCGCGCGAAACAGAAATGATAGGAAGGTAGAAGGATTGTGGAAAGGGATTTCTTACTCTAGTCAATCTTTTCTCCTCATCGTCGCAAAACTTCTGCCAGTACTCCTTCGACTTAGGAAAAGGACGTTCCCATCTGAAGCGAGGTTATACATTAATATATGAAAAAATTATATGTATTAATTTGCAATGGTAATAATTTGATGAAATATACTGTAGGTTTATTTCATGATTTCTTTTTTTATAAAGTACTATTAAATGAATGAATGAATTAATATGATAAATGAATTCATAAGCGATATGATTAAATTTAAAATTTATATGACGTTATTTGAAAAATATATCTATAGTAAATACGTCATTTTTATACTAATTTTACTTGTATATTATTCATATTATTCAACATACTTCGTTCCCTCGATAACACGTAACTTTTGCATTACATAGCGATGTTTGGGCTGCTTCAAACTTGATGGATGAGACATTTTTAACAATTTTACACGGTATTTTGCACACCCGCGTAATAGATCGATGAGTTTGTTTCAACTGACGTAATTTTTTTACATTTAATTAAGCCACGATTGCACTCCCGGCATTCCGTGATTATCCGATGCGGGCTACCGAAGGTATTTAATTTCGTTATCGATCAAACAAATTCGGAGCGTAGCGCAAATATCGCTGTGTCGCCAGTCTCGTGACGAGCTTCTGGGAATCGGGAAGAGATGGTGGTACTTCCCTTCGGAAGCACGTATTGATCGCACGCTCGTCGGTCGAGTTCTGTACCATCGACTGACGTTCATCGCGTCCGGGTCCCTTTTTGTTCTCTGAACGTAACCGCGCGTTTTCCAAATGAAGCCCGAATTTGTATCTATCGTGGATAATACCGCGAGGCGCTAAATATTTATCTGAAAGAGATTCGCACGTTTGCTGGAGAACTCGAAATCTGACGGATATCCCACAAGATGTCTTCACCATTTAAATTCTGCGCTTTCAAGCCATCACATGTATATGTACAAGAATTTTAATCATAAGGCCGTAAGCAAATTGACCTATTACAGCTATCACTATCAAAATTGCGGTCTTATGTTTTAGAATATTCGATTGTGATTGGTCAATATGTTTATGATTTTACGATTAAAATTATTGTACATACATGTGATGACCTTTATGCACGTGTATATATTATACCCTTTCCCCGCGAAAGGATATATGACTGATCCGCACAATCATTTATTTGACCCACGGATCTCACTATACTGCGGACATCATATATATTTAATACATCACGGTCCGTATTCAGAACGCGCTTTTATCGATAAATGCGCGCTTTAATTTCTGAAATTCTATAGTACGCGTAACGTAAACTATAGTGTGTAATAGCACTCTCACATTATTGTCAACGCATTCTGAATATGGGCTCTATATGCAACACGTTTTCGCGAATAATATTTCAATGAATGTTTGAAGAAAAACGGGAGCAAGATACGATCTAAGAGGAATAAAAATTTAATAAGAAAGGAAATTAAATAAAACTTACTTTTAGAATTTAATATAAATTTTATATATAAAATTTTATTTGATATATAGGTACATTTTTATATAAAATTTTAAATAAACATTAATAATGTACTGACTTACATTAGATTTATGTATTTAGTATTTAGTATTCGGATATTATTTACGATGCAATTTCCGTTATCTTTGAAAAATATATATGAAATGTAAAGCATGATTTTATATTTCAAATATAGAAATGAGAGAAAGAGAGAGAGAGAGAGAGAGAGAGAGAGAGAGAGGAGAGAGAATGGCAGAGAGAATATATCTCAAAGTCATTATTTTAGAAGTAAAAGGGATACCTTTTCGCAACGGGCATCGTGTAGTTACGCAACTTCGGTATTAACTGCCGGCCAATAAGCTGCCGCACATATTGCGCTCACTTGCGGCGACCGAGGAAGCTCGGAAACTTCCAATGCGCCCGCACACGTGTGTATTTTGCAATAAATAGACGCATTGCGCTAACAATAAGTTACGTACGTAATTACGAACGTAACTTACGCGAGGAGGAGCATACGCTCACGTTCACACTATACTGGTACACGTTGACCTGAACGACGGGACAAGGTACCGTTGTGATGATGGTCGCCATCTTATTTCCGTTGTCTCAGCTGTCGCCAGTCTTCCGGTCGGGTGACTCGATGCACCTCGCATTCGGCGAAGGAGACAATTGAGCGAAAATAATTACCTGCCGTGCCATACTCCGAATCGAAATTGCTTGCATCGTCCGCGTCGAAATTTTGAATAAAACATTCGATGTAAAGAGTGCAGAAATAACTAAAAATTTATGCGTCGTAACTTATTTATACATATCTGTCTCGCAAATGGCCAATTTATTTATATATAAAAGTGGGTTAGATTTGATAAATTTAAGTGAGATCGAAATTCTTTCTAAAAGCAATCCATTA